GAACCTCTCTCACCTCGGTTGTTTTTCATTATAGCTTCAATATTTATATATTTTTTAGTTATTAGTAAGGCGTTAGTCAAAGTTTTAGGTGATTCTAGTGACAATGTTAGCTTTTATATGGTATTTGTTATGATTGAGTTCACTTGTTCTGGTGGCTACAGTAGTCGTTTGTTCTCGATTTTTAACTTATAGAGCTTTCACGTTAAAACGCATAATATAACTTTTCAAAGTTTCATTCCAACCTTGGTGGATTGACATCAAACTTAAAGTTATATTTTTCGCTCTTTGACTACTCACAAACCTAGATAAAAAACTCTTTGAATGTCATGATTGACATTGGTTCCAGGTTATTATACCAAGATCGAGCTACACCCTTCAGTGTGGTGGTAAAACCTTTGCACATTAGAGCCTCATCTATCACCTGCATCATCATATTAGTTAAATAAAGTTTTAAATGATTGAAGGGGTCAAAGGTACTATTGTAGGTTTCCAAGGTTGGCATTTTGAACCCTTTGAGAGGTATGACTCTATCAATTTCTTCGGTGAAGGGCAAGGTCTCCAAAAACTTAAGCTCATCATCAAATACCACTACTTTTATTTTTAACTCTTTTTTCATGGCTTACATATGAGCTTTTAGGTCCTTGTTTGGTTGGGGTTCGGGGTTTATTTGTTTGGATTTTTGGGTAGTAAAATGTGTTCAATTATGGTTGGGGTAATAATGAGCTGGGATGTTATGCTTTTCTTCTCTAAAGGCTAAAGAAGCTTTCACCTTTTCGTAGCTCGATTGTCTGATAATGGCATTTCAGTCAAAGGTGATTAGATAAGGCATTTTTGAAACTTGTGGTGGGGTTATGTTTATAACATCTATTTGAGAGCCTATATCTATTTGGTCAAGGCTTAGAATTGTTCCATGGTCGGTTTCCCTTATGGTTGGGCAGGTCGGACAGAATGTTAGCTATGATAGATTTTTGTTCTAGTTGAGACGACCGTCTCTTTTTTTTCTAAGGTTCTTTTTCTTGGCAACATTGCTTTGTGCTCGGCTAATGAATGGAAAAAGACCCCTACTTGATATGCCAAAATATTTATATTGAGCTCTAATTTTAGGGAATTCCTGGAAAGATAGAAGAGAAAGACAGTTAAAGGTAAAGACAATAAGCGTTTTCTACGTTTACACTCTGACTCATAAATCAAAAAGAATGAGGTTGGAATGAAAGTAATAAGGAGAAGATGGAGTGGTGTTGTTACCTTTATGATACTTAGACTTTTTTATTTATAGATAAGTGATAAAGGATCATTACGGAATAATAAGAACACTGCAAAGTTGACATGGTACTAAGAATATTAGACTAATCTGACACGTCAAATCGACATAAATATCAAAATTACCCCTAATTGTTTGTTGAAAGCTTTTAACATGAAAAAAATATTATTATATTTTTTTGACCACTAAATGCCTCCAACAACAATATATAATAAAAAAATTACAATTGTAATTGCCTATAGTAATGAAAAAAATTTTATTCCTTGATAGATATTTGTATTTTTCACTTAATGAAATAAATTCAAATATTTAATTCTCATAATAATTATCAAAATTTAAAAAATCGTAAACATAAAAATTATGAATATCATGTCATTTGAAGGGTTATAATTTTTTTAGTATTTATTTAAGAAGAAATTGAGGGAATGAAAGTTTATAAGAATGAGAATCAAATATGAATATTGTAAGAATTTACTATTTTTTTTTTCAAAGAAGATGAAACATTTGGATTGATTCTTAGATTCAATTCATGTTGAAATGAATAACTGCGGTGGTAAGTGAAATTAAAAAGCAAGGAGGGTTAAGTGGGCCCAAGTAGTGACGCTTATGCAATTCCCTTTGCTTATCTCATCATATATGGCAGACACCATTTTTATCTACCACCATCAACGGTGCTCGTTCAATGTGACTCCTCCCCCTCCCCCCAACACTCCAATTTCATGATGGTGGGGTCCTCCTCCCACAAGCCCACACCAAAACAAAAGCAAACCAGCCCCTCCCATTGCCCTTCCCCCAATCTCCATCACCGTCTCAGCATGCCGAAAATCCACGTGGCCTACTTTCATTGCCTCAACCTTTGAGACCAAAAAGGAATGTTGGCCCCATATCTCAGTCTCTTCTTCTACCCGGAAACCCACAATCTCCGTTCCTAAGGAAAAGTGAAACACAGCTGTCACGTGTCCAACAGAGAATATAGCAAATCTCCTATAATTCTTAAAACATAATATAATTAATTATTATAATTTAATTTTATACAAAATTCATAAAAAATTATATATCTACACTTTAATTAATAAATATTTGTATAATTTTTATTATAATTAATTATAATATTATAATAAAAATTGTAAGTGAAAAAAGTGAAATTTCGTTCGATGATTATATCATACATGGGGTCCACTCGTTCTAATGGGTATTCCCTCCACGTCAGCTCTGTTTCTCCATTGCGTTCGCATTGAGTTCCTTTTAATTTTAATTAATTTATAGTAGCTTGTACTATTTTAAAATTCTCTAATAAATACTAAAAGAAACAAAAATGAAAGTTACTTACATGGTCGAGAGGCGAAGGAATGGCTTATTGGTTACATCACGGTTCAATCTAAGGGTTCCACGTAGACGTGAAGGTGACGTAAGGGGAGGTCATTTACTACGATCACCACCACCCCATGTGACTGCTCCACGCCACTTCTCCGCCAAATATCCGGTAGTTCCAAACTACCGTATTATGTGACGCACCCCATATTGCCCCTTCACTCTGCTTCAGCATGTGTAATACACACTCTCTTATCATTTGCATATTATCCTGACGTGGAACATGCAATATATATATATATATATATATATATATATATACTACGTATTATTATTTGTGTTTACAAATTAAATATAAAATATATTTTTTATTTTATTAAATTTAAATTATATAATTTTTAATTATTTTTATTTCATATCATACTATCATATTATATTTAAAATTATTAAATTTTTTTATTTTTTCATATTTTTTATCATCTTAATTCATTCAACTAAAAATGAAAGAAAAAAATTAGTTTAATACTAATTTATCAAAATATTTGAAATTACGATTGAGATAAAACTAAAAAAGAAACACGATGATGGCATATGAGATGTGAATACATCGAGATCATATAATTTGTGATAATATATTATAATTAATTAAAAATTATAATAATATAATATCAAAGTACTATGAAAAATCCATATACAGCTTAAAATAGTAAGTAAAATGTTATAATTGCACAATCTAACAACAAAATATCTAGTGTAAATAGTATTCCTGATCTGGAAATTTTGAGGTATATATCATTTTTATTTTTAAACATCAAAATGTAATTTGTTGATATCTGTTTGTCAAGTACTATAACGAGTTAGTCATTTTATCAATTTAACCAATAATTCAAGGTTTGATGTGATTTTGACCATAAAAAAGTGACTGACATGATTAACGTGACAACTGAAAGAAAGAAAAAAGGAAAAGAAAAAATTAAAAATTGAAAAAAATATTTTTTTAAAATTGTTTTTTATTTTAAAAATAAGAATTAACGAAAATAAATTTCCTTTTTTATTTTTTAAACATAATATAAAATTTTAGTGTATTTACAAATATTATAATTTAACTAAATAAATTTTCAATTTTCAATTTGTTAAGAAATTTTTTAATTTTAAATATAATATTTATTTTAATATTTTTATCAAATATTATAATTTAAAATAAAAAATTTCAAAATTTTCTTTTTGAATAAGTTTTTTTAATTTTTATATATAATATAGTTTAATATATTTTATCAAAATTTATAGTTTAAAATAAATAAATTCTAAAATTTTGTAATTTTAAGAAGTTTTTGTTTTTATTTGTTTTTAAAATTTTCAGAATTAATATATTTGTATATTTTATCTAGTTTTATAATTTAAAATAAATATATTTCAAATTTTATTTTTAAATGGGTTTTTAAAATTTTTTTAAAAATATAATATAGCTTGAATATATTTTATCAAATTTTATAGTTTAAAATAAATGAATTTTATATTTTTATTAAGTTTTTTTTTTAATTTTTAAATATAATTTATTTTTATATTTTATATAGTTTTATAATTTCAAATAAATAAAATCTAGATAATATGTTATAATATAAAATTAAATTTTCTAATTTTCTAATTCAAAGTTTTTTTTTATATAATTTAAAATTTTAAAATTAAACTTAAATAAAAAAATACAAATAATTTCAACATCAATATATCGATCATTTATGCTAATACGTGATATCAATTAATTTTTAAGGTAAGATTTAACAATTTTTGACAAAAAAATTATTTCGATACAACATTAAAAACTTTAAAACCAACAAATGTAATTTGAAAGTATAAGAACTAGAACAACCTGATCCAAAATTTAAAGGTCACATATCTAATTTACTTTTAAAATATTGTATAACATATTTTCTTTCTCCTTATAAAAAAAACAAATGGCAATCAAAAACCTCATTTTAGTACAAGAAATAACCGCTAAAATTTTATCACAATAATCCAGTCGTTTTTTACAATAAAGATACTTTTGACACCTTCAAAAATATCCTATCTTCATCACCTACCTTCCTAATCTTCTATGCTAACATTTCCAATGTGACACATGCCCACATGCATATAAATATAGATGATAAAATGTTAAAATATTTTTTAAATTTAATTTATTTTTATTTTAATTATAAAAAATAAACTAAAAAAATAATAATAAGTTAACTTTTTTTTTTGGGGGGGGTTACACAAGCGCGTGGGTGTCCAAGAAAACCCATGATCCCAGAAAATAAAGAGAAGTTATGTAACACATTACTTTCTGATGTAAGCAACCACAGCCCAAGCCAAGTCGCTTTCTCTTCTCTCTCTGTTTTATACTTAGTATTTAGCTCTTTCATCCCACTTGTTTTTACCCATTGACATTCACAAAAGCGCCCTTGTTTTTTCTTTGGCAATGCAAAAGCCTAAGAAGTTGCTCAAGTGACGTTGTGCAGCTTGATCTAAACACCGCTACCACCTTCCTCCAACAATATCCCCATGAGTACCACCACCACAACCACCGCCATCAGCGGCGCCGGCCTTTCCATAGACAAGGAGGAGTCAACGGAGACACGGATCAGGAGGCTGATATCGGAGCACCCTGTCATCATCTTTAGCCGATCGTCTTGTTGCATGTGTCACGTCATGAAAAAGCTCTTAGCCACCATCGGGGTTCACCCTACTGTCATCGAACTTGATGACCATGAGATCGCTTCCCTCCCTCTACCGCCGGCTCGCGATAGCCTCTCCTCTCGCAATCCTGCCCCCGCCGTGTTCATTGGTGGAACCTGCGTCGGCGGCCTTGAATCCCTCGTGGCTCTTCACCTTAGTGGCAACCTCGTCCCAAAGCTCGTCGAAGTTGGCGCACTCTGGGTATGATACATAGACTATTATATATAATAGCATTAAAAATCATATAATCAAGCTGTCATTTTTAATGCTTTTTTAATCTGGGGTTTTTCTTTTCATTATAATTATTATTGTAACTTCTTTGTAAGTTGAACATAAAATTAGGCAGTCCACTTCCAAAAGAGAAATAATTTCTGCTTTTCTTTTCCCTATTTGCTTTGCTGGTCAAAGAAAGCATATTGAAGATATTAGTAATTAAATCAAATGAATGAGATTGTATGTGTGAAAGTTTTCTTTTTCTTTTTCTTTTTTTTTTGGTTGAATTTGTAAAGTGAGAGTTATGGGGTTTGAGCTTTGGTGTTTCAGGAGCTCTGGTCAGGGGTTTGATCTGATTTAGGACAACGAGCAATGAGTGAAATTGGGCCCATGGAACTGGGTTCCATACTTCCATTTCCAATTATTGAGCAATCAGAGCCTTTGAAATTTGTTCCTGACAGGGTCTTGATCAAACAGAATGGTTAACTTAATAATGTGATCTGGGGTTTTGGAGGAAGATGATTTTGTGATGCCTTCTTTTTTTTTTTTTTTTCTTTCTGACAATGACGAGCCCCGGTCCAAGTGGTCATTGTCGCATAATCTGACAAAGTTCGTCCAATTATCATTAAGAAGAAAAAGAAATAATATCCTGGAATTCTTACACGGCTCTTTTCTGTTTGATTCTCTAACATATTTCATTCCACAATTTGTGATTCAATCTTTTTCTGGGATTATGATATCCAACAATTCCTCTTAATTTGTTTCAACTTTCATGCAAATAATTAGAACTTATAATTTTATCATGATTTAAAATTATAATAAAATATATATAAAAATTTGATAAAAATTAAAAAATTTATTTTGTATTTGATATGATTACATGAATTATAAAATAATAATTTTTATATTTTATACGTATTAATCACAAAATAAACATACATGGACGCATGAAAGGTCAAACTACTATAACAATCTTATTCTTTTGTTAGCGTTGAACCGAGCCAGCTGGTTGCCTGGAAATTGTGTAAGTTACAGCACTAATAACAAGATAAAGTCTGAAGAGTTTCTTCTTTTTCTACCTCAAAAGCAGATCTTAGATTAAGGATGAATGGCTATTAAAAAAGGGATTGATGATCACAAGAACACTTGAGAATGAGCTGTGAAACAAGAAACAAAACAAAAACTATTACTTCCTCTCCCAGATACTCAAATAAGTGAATTTATAAACTGTAAGGAAAGAAGTGGGAAGCTGTAATTTGTAGTATACTAGCATGTTGGGTGATCAGGAAAGGATCGAAGGAAGGAGAAGCTGTCAAATAAGATCACCAAAAATTGAAGGCAAAGACAAAGCAATTGTCACCAACCCATCAGAAAGTATTAAAAGATGCGTCATGGCTGCAATTCAATCACCTAACAGCCTCATTTCTTCACCAATTTTTTTGGTGGTCTCTTCTCAAGTCTTAACCCACTTTAGTTTCTGAAATTTTTTACTTTTTTTTATGTGAACTGTTAAGTAGTAATGTTAAAATATCTTATTTGCATGTTGAGATGAAGAATATTTTGTATATAATTATAAAAAAATGAGCAAGTGGGAGTGTCCATATTGGAACCTAACTCTAAATGACAATGCAGTAAAGTGTGTGTAATCATGAGATGGAAGGATCTTAATGTAAATTTTATTTGTTCCAACCTTCAAGTTGGGGAAGTGAGAATTAATAGCTCAAAGGGGGAGCTATACAGTCACCAAAACACAATCTATCTTTGGAGATCTTTCCAATTTAAGGAAAACAAGAATGAGTGAGTTTGGGTCAAAGCTAAAACACCCACTACAAATGAAATGGGACCCAAATATATAAATTTTTCCTTTGGGTTTGGAAAAGAAAGCATGGTTCATGACAGGAGCAACCATCAGGCAACAGCCCACAACTCACAACCACAATTCAAGAGTGGGGTGGTCAGTGGTCACCGTGGATCTTTGTTTGTTTATTTATCTTATAAATTCTGAATTTTACACATGGCAGCCATTGATGGCGTTGATTTACCCCATTAATTGACCCCATGCCCATCGAGAATCTTTACAGCCTAACGTAAGAAGAATCTCTTTCTGATTCTCTATAATATTAAGCAAATTTATGGCATGAAAAAAGTTAAAAAGAAAGAAATATATATTTGTTTTGTTATACAGTTTAAGTGGAAGTAATGAGAAATGGGCAACTCAAGTACCCCACTGAAAGTTCGGTTTTTAGGTCTAAAAAACTGTCTAAAAGTTGGAAGAGCATCTTTAAGTACTTTATCAGTTCATCACCTTTTATTTTCCTTTGCCTTTTTTTTTTCTTGATGGTTGAGTGAAGTCATGGTTTTGATTTGGCTTCTTTGTAGGGTTCCCACTTTTCTTGTATGCATGTATGTACTTTTATTGTTCTCCATTGTTTATGGCTCTAAATCCTCTCCAATTAAGACCTCCCCCAGATTGTACCTTGACAAATATAGTTAAATGCCACCACTATACAGCACTGTTGCTTAAAGTCAAGCTTACATCACTTTGGGAAGCAGAGAGAGAAAGATAGAAACCACAACTGGACTACTTAAGTACTAATCCTTGATTAAGAATATTCCCTCGATAAAACAGCATATATATATGATATTGTTATAGACTTGCAGCTGGGGCTTAAGTTTAACTCATGAGTTTGCACTAATGAATAACGATATTTATAGTACTAGTTCATTACAACTGTTAACATTAAATTATGATTGTTGTCGCCATCTGCATGCCTAGAAGTTGCTATGATCTATTGCTGAACAGCAAGCACGTTTAGGCTGCACATGTAAGACGAGTGAAGGATAAATTATAGAGAAAAAAAACAGCAGAAATCTTTGACAATTGGTGAGAGAAGTGCTGGTGAGTTAAGGAATTAAACAGACAAGTAACAGGAGAGTGAAACTGAGATCACTGCCACACCAATCATTCGATTGGAATTACCAGTGGCCAACATCAGGAGTTCAAATTTTCGGCAGCTTTTAGTACGTTGAAGTGAAGATTTACCTGTTATATATATGTCCCTCTTATTGTTAGTACTAGTATTTATTGCTGCAATATCTGCCCCTCTCATCATTTAGAAGGAAACGACTTCCAGAATAAGAGTGGGAATTCTTTTTTGGATGAGATATACTGGAAGCAGCAAGTAATAAAACAAGTAAATTCATGTGGTTTTGGCTCCTGGGGCTGGATATCCACAAGAATGCATCAGACACCGGAACGTGGATGTTGATATCAAAGGAACAACTGCACAGAACCCATTTTATCCCCCTTCCCAAAGACAAAACTGTAAAGAAGAGGACACATTTGGTAATGACCTCGAGCACAATATTGAGCAGCAACTTGCTCTTTTATTCATCAAGGAAAATCAAGGTGTGATCAATCGTCAAAGCTTTGCAACGAAATGTGGTAAATGAATGTCATCTAGTAAATACTATGGCATTGAGGGTATCAACCTCGATTGCACTTTACAAGGTTTCCTGTTGTAATCCTGAATATCATTCTACTCTAATCCTTTTGTTCAATAAGAAAACTGTAAAAAATTGCTTCCAACTACAATCCACCCCAATTCATGAACTTCTTGACCTCATCATACAGAACCAAGATGGCTGCAGCACCAGTACTCCTAAAAACATTAGACAGTGCCCCACGGTAAAATGAAGTCACCCCCTCTGTCCTATATATCGTCCTCCAGCAGTCCAGTGTGCTATGGTACATTGCTTGTTCCAAGCCAGATTGCATCATCATCCTCCTCCGAACTGTATCTAGTGGATATGACAACAATCCAGCAGATGTTGTCACGGCCTGCGCCACCACCCAACGCTTCCATAATGCCAATTCGGTTTTGGATTCTTCTGACAAAATTTCATTTATTGTATCAAATCCTCCGAAATAAACACCCCGATGAACAATCATCCCCTGTAGAGAGGCAGGAAGACCCCTGTAAATTCCCCGAATTCCATCTTTTTTATGTATGGTACTCAGGAAATGGTAGATACCTCGAAATTGACGAACATCAGTTCTTCCTATATCTGCAGCAAGGCGTGTGTGAGCGATATCAAGAGGGTAGATTAAGATCAATGTTGTGCAACCAGCTGCAGCTCCGGCAATAAAGTTGGCAGATACTCCAGAGAATACATGACCATCTTGATAATAGCCATTTCTTAATATGTTTCTATACAGATCCTGCATGATGAGATGCAAAATAATTAAAAAGATTAGCACACAGAGATGTTGTAAGTTTACTCAGAGTTTTATTCAAAAACTCAAGCAAAATGTTTTATTTTTCCAGTTGTTTATTTTTGAGGCACTGGTGTGGTTTTGAAGGCTTTTTTTTTTCCTTTTATGTACATAGGAGACTAATTAGGCCTTAAACTACATAAATCCTACCCCTTTCATCCCCAGGATTCAAACCTGAGATCTCCTAGTTTAATTTGAAGACTAAAGTTTTAACACTTGGGAATATCCCCATGGGTACTTTCAAGCTTTGGTTTTTTTTTTGGTCGTAAAAATAAATTGTGATTGAAGACCATTTTGGAGTGCTAAAGGTAAAAAGACATGAAAGAAAGCTTGTTTACCATCAAGTAAAATATTATCTGAATTCAAGGGTGCTGTCACCGTCATCAACTAGTGTCAAGGCATTTATCAAGTGATTCCTATGAACTTTTCACTGATGGCAAATTGGCAATAAGTTAGGCAAATTCATCTCACCTATTCCAAATGCTCTTCAAGGATGTAACGCTATAGTTATTTCGTACAAGAGTGTAATCCACCAATTAGGGCCATCCACCAAGAGTTATTAACACTATAGTTATTAATAACTCTCTTAGCTTTTCTGTCCCTATTATTCCAACATCATGATTATCATTAAGATCAGAATGCCCTGAAGAAATTTCAATAATAAGATCTCTTTTCCTAGAGTCTCCTATAAGTTTCAATAGAAACACTGTTTGTATCATGACCACATTAATTACATTCAAACATAGCTGGCAAAACAAAGAAAGTGCATAGATTGTTATCTCAATCTCCCATGCAACAAGAATAACACTACATTGGCTCGAAGAAACATTTTATCATTCATTTCACATGCAAATAATATCTCCTCCCAAAATTAACCCTGAACTTTCAACAACCCATATACAAATAACATCTCCCAATACTAAAACAACTATGCCAACACATTAATTCACTCTAAATATCAAAAAATAATAATAATAAAACCACTCATTAAACTTCATAGCAAAAACCAAGACAAAAAAAGAAAAAAAGGGAAGATGAAAATTTTGATAAATTTATTACCTTGAGGGAGAAATTAAGAGCAACGGAAGGGTAATATCTGAGAACACTACTCCCATTGCCTCTCCATAAAGAAAGAACGCCTTCTTCCCTTACCGTACGGACGATACAATCAAGCATCCCTTTGAATTTCCTTCTTCCATCAGCCACAATAGCCAAATTGCTCTCTTGGGTTTGAAGCAACAACTTTGCCCTCTCAATTGGTGCCACGATCGTGTGCACCACACCCCCCATCACCGCTCCCGCCATCAAATCACGTTGGAAGCTCGCTAGCCATTTGTACGGCCCTGACGACTGTTTTAACCGTCCAATGTTTTCTAATTCATCATTTACTTCTCTGCTCATAACTTCAAAGACCCAAAATTGTTTTTCTTTAAATAAAAAAGAAACCCTTTTTTCTTCTAGTGTTAAGAAATGGTGGAAAAATAATTTTCCACTAAAAAGATTGAAGCTGTAACTATTAACGGGATCATATTAATTGCTCTGTTTTTTTTTTTTTTTTTTAGAGAAAGAGAGTTTTTGATGCTTTTCTCATGGCTGGCTATCTTTCGAGGGCTTGTTTTGTTTCAGCTTTGCGAATGACCTTTCTGCTTCTATCCGTATCCCCAAAAAAGGAAACTCAACGAAATTTGTCATAGGCGGTTCATTTTCCAGTCTGGGTGTTTGATTAATCAGAGGGAACTTATTTTTATATTTCTCGGTTTTGGTAATTTTGCTTAGGTTTAACATTCTCATTATTATGGCAAGTTTCATTAGCCGTTTAGCTTTTGCCAAGTGTTACCTTTTTTTTTTTTTTTTGTAAAGCATTTGCTAATTGGAAGAGTTTGTGAATTCTCAGTTGTGTTGACTTTTAAACTTAACATAATTATTTTTATAATGGTTTTTAGTTGCATCGAGAAGGGAAGATTTAATTGGACACTTCAAGCTAAAAAAATAGTTTAGCAGATTAGTTATAATTAATTCATTTTCCAAAAAGTAGTTTATCATCAGTAATTTTGTTAATTAATAATGTCATATTTGATATAATTCTTGCATTTATATAATTATGTTTTATGCCAAATTATTATATCATAATTTTTTTAATAAATTAAATAAAAAAATATATTTTTAAAATTTATATATAATTTTATCAAGTTTAATTCGTATTATTTGTATATTATTTTTGTATCATTTTATATCAGTGTAATATTATGAAGTATAGACAGGCTAGAGTTTGTGTTTGAAAGTAGAAATAGAGAGATGAATTCAAATATTTAAAAATGTTCAGAACTTTTTTTTTTTTTTTTTAAATTGTTTAAGATTAGATTCATTACGGAATTTAGTACCAATAATGGTTTAAAAATGAAGAAGAGATGTGTGGTGCATGTTGTCATGTTAGAAAGTGAATATATCCAAATTTAAAAAGACAATCTTTGTGCATGGTACACTGGAATAGATGCCGTGTACCATAGTGTGAAAGGGAAAGCTAGTGGTAAGCATGGAATTGCTCGTCTCAAAGATTGAAAATATTCAGGGGATGGAGCCTTCTCGGGGCTGTTATCACTAGAGAATATATGAAAAAATTGGTGCTCCGTTTCAGTATTCTTTTGCTTCTTTTTTTTTGGCAATTGATACTCAACATAATGATCTATCTGCAATTGTAAATCCGAATGTAGCAGGCTAGAGATGCGAAAGAAGATTGCGGTTTGCTCTTTCAAGTCTTTGGAAGCTAAAATTGTCCAACACTGCCTCTAAAAGAGGGTTTTTTTTTTTTTTTTTCCTACAAAGGAGTTGCGGATCAACCCAACTTGGATCCATTAATGAAGCCTCCTTTAAATTGGACAAATCGAATGAACCTTCTACATCTGCCTTTAGCAATATGAAGGAATCTAGTTACTGATTCTTAAGCATTAATGTCTGAGACTTCAAGTAAAGATCCGCCCTTAAGTTCATTGTTCCGGAATCTGACATTTTTGGCACGCAGCTTCTCAATCTCTTCCATTGCCCACTGAATTAATTGCTTACCAGTTTTACTGAGTAGAATGATTCTAGAAATCGACTAAAACGAAACAACAGTTTTGTTAGTCTTCAAACTAATCCACTTGCAACACCAATGTTCATGATTTTGTAAAAGAATTAATTTTACTTAATAATTACAGTGCTTACTAGCAGGAATGCAAATTTTACATCAGTGTCACTCTATCTATTCTTTGTGAATGCTTAGCACTGTCGAAAAATGTCTTAGAAGCACAAAAATTATCATAATCATATCGTAAATCTGAACCACTGTCCATGAAATCAGTACTGTCAACTGAAAAGTTATCCGTCATGGGCGTGCAATTTCCTAGTATGTAATAATCTTGAGAACATGTTTTGTAAATTTGTTCTGTGAAGACGAGTCAACTCCATAGTTGCCATTAATGGCAACTGGCTAGAAATTAGGACATTCCCACATGCCAGTTCTTGTGGACGAGTGAAGAGGATCTTTACTCCTAGTCCAGGTAACAAAAATTTGACTTTGATACAGAAGTGCCCTTCCATGGCCATTCATCTGGTAATTAAAAACTATTATCATTATTACCATAAATTATTATTTTAATATTTATTTTTCATAAATATAGAAAACTGCATGTGCAGCGCTGGTAACAAGAACTAGTATACAACGAAATTTTCAATATTGTATTACTAGCTGTAATTGCCAAGACATGAACAAGGGGACAGCTTTTTTATTGCTTTTTCCACATCCATAATGCGGAATAAATCAAGCAAGCCTCATAGATAATTTCTCTTCTCTTTTCTATTATGATGCTGTATTCTACAAACCTCCCCTGCAGTTAATCCTGGCTTTATTCATACTCCATACATTCAATCTTGAAATTGTTACACCGAGAGTTCCATTGTTAAATGCAAAAGGTTGGTCTTCTTCGTTCACAGCATGCTTTGGATTAACTCTTATGGTGATACAAGTTCTTCCTTTTCCTCCAAAACTCTCAATTATGGAGTGATCTATCTGCAAAAGGTGAACCAAGAAAAAAAAATGGTAAAAACAAATGAAAGCACCAAACAGGCTTGCACAGAAAAAAAAAGTGGCAAACACAAATCAACCCAGCAAGCTTCTTAATGAAATCATTTCCTGGCGAGGATCAATGTCTGCAAAGGCTCCATAAGTGGTTTTATCTAATTCATCTCTCAAAGAAGACCTGTGAAATATGTTTTAACATTGAATCAAATGAATGTAGATGATTATTGTACTGTTGTGGATAGTTCTGGAAAGAAGGGGGTAGGGATGTCTGTCTTTCTAGGTTAGTGACCAACCTCTTCTGCTCACCGCACATAAGTATTACATATCCCTTATGGCCTCTAAAAATCCGAAAGAAAATCACAGTTTGTTCCGTCAAGTACTTTGTTGCCAAAGCTAATAAACCAAATGGTCCAAATCTTCCAGTGACAGATGCATCTTCTCTGTCACAGATTAGTTGGGGATCAACCCAACTGCTATTCATGAACTCAGCCTCTTCTAGTTCAGGCAATTCAAACGTTATTTCTATATCGGCCTTCCAACATGGTAAGAAAATTGTCATGATAATGCAATTACTTCAAATATGACTGAATTACAAAAATATAAATGGGAACTGTACATGGGATAATAGAAAGCAAAGTACGCTATATGATGGTGATAATATACGACAACAGAGTACTCACCTGTGAAGCTGTGATGCCTGAAACTTCAAAAATTGATCCACTTTCAAGTTGTTTACCATAAATATAGACTTGATTGTCACGTAGACTATTGGTTTCTTCTACTAGCCACTGCATTAATTGCTTTAAGCCAAATTTGGCTAGGAACTGACTGCAAAGGATTATCCGGAAGCCATTGAGGATCAGTGTGCATCTAATACATCAATGCCATACTCAAATTAAGCTAGTAGTTATATCAATAAATATATAATATATCCCTCAATGTAAATCACCTGTAGTCCAGACAATCCTTTCTCTATAGCAACTTCTGTACCATCAGATTCATTTACCCAACCCCGCAATATCTTCCTGCTCTTGTCACTGTCAAAGAATGTCTTTGAGGCATAGAATTTACCATATTCATATCTCAAGTCCAGACTGGTTGCAGCAAAGTCAGCGTCAGGAAGAAAATTTTCCTGTTCAGTAACATAAATCCCCGCTATATATCAGTCATGAGAATTGAAACTTGCTTTCATGACATGCCTAACACTTTGGGTTTTTGACAGAGGTGTCAACCCCATTGGTGCTGTTAATAGACACAGGAAAGAAACCGAAGACTCCCACATCCTAGTTTTTGATAACGAATAAAGAGGATCTTGATATTTAGTCCATTGAACAAAATCCTCACTTTGGTAGAGAATGGCCATGACCTGGTTATTGCTCCTCCTCCCAATGACTACTCTTCAGACTCCAGGTTCCATCTGGACCCCGCCAAGCAGTTGTTGGATCTCTAAAATTATCCCCTTCAACACCATCCGGTGGAGTTATTAGAGGATTTCCGGAGTATTTGACCCATTCTATTAGCAATGGATCCGATAGATTTTTTGGGGTTGCCAGGTTTTGGACCTGGTGATTATTAGCATCTATTCCAGTGTATAAAATGACTGGTTTATTCCCTGGAAGGATTGTAGCAGAACCCGAGCAGAAACTGTTTATGTCAAATGGCTCAGATGGAATAAGTGCATTATCGAGACTGAACCAGTTAACAAGATCATCTGATGCGGAATGTGCCCACATCATACTATCACCAAACAATGCACCATGTGGATTGTATTAGCAGAACAAGTGATAAACTCCCTTGCAGTAGCTTGGCCCTGCATTACATGGATCAATATCTTATTGGTCTTATATAAATGGTTAGAAAAAGCTCATTATTTAAGTCTTAACATGCTAGCTCAGATTTATCTACTCTGGTCCTATCTAAGAGATGATGGCTAGGATTGAATATAAAAGTTGCTTCATATGATTTGCTTAAACTAAATACTGTCTATTTTCCATAAGAGAACTGTAAACTACTAGAAATGATAAGGGACTAAAAACACTTCATCTGATCTCAGTTGGTCTTCCAGAAGCAATTAAAATTGTTCATTCCTTATATGTGTGAATCATATAAGGATTTTAAAGCTAACCTGGTTCTTTGATACTACATAAATGCAAATTATTGACTCTTTTCTGGTTTCAAATATTTCTTCCAAATTAAAGGTAGATTGCTGAATTGTCATGCTGTGTCCAAACCGCCATGGGCGAGGAGAAAAGGAAAAGATAACTTGAAAACTAAATGAAGTTGCTTTCTTACGTTTAGAATCTGTGTACACAATTTCACTAATTTATCCCATCATTGCAGCAGTCGGCTGAATCATTTGATACCAAACAAAGATAAAAACAAACAAATCAATGAAAAGGATCAATGAAATCTAAAAAAAAAAAGTTTTAGAATATCTATAGATTAATAAAGAATATGATGTTGTAAGAACAAGATTATTAAAGCTAGCTAGTCATACCGTTCAGCCAGTTTTGAGGAGGTCGGACGTGATAGGCTGCCCTGCAAGGCTGCTTTGCTGGCAGTAGAAACTGTAAGGATTGAAAACTTATATTGTCTGTCAGCTGATCAAGCTGACCACCGTCTTCCACTTTAATTCCATTGCTTAGCTGAATAGAAGATAACCCAACTAACAAAAGTACATATAATATATATATATATATCCACGTTCTCTCAAAGGGAGGCTGCAATAAACCAATGGCTTTGTCTGGAGA